ATGATCATAATAAATTACCCGGATAACCCGGGTAATTTAATAATACCCGGGTAGGGATTTTCTCAACGGGTCCAACCTCTAGTTGGAAGCCATAGGTGATTAATATGAAAGCTTAAAAACTAGTGATTTATTTAACGAAATTCTGGACTTAAACATGATTAACACGCATATAGAAAGAATTGCAAATACAGTAATATATACGTACGTATTATGTATTATATAATACGTAATATGACTTAGCTTTTTGTTTACGTCAAATTTTTATAATAGATTATCCCGATAGATACGTACGTGTATAATTTTTAATACGCATTATCCATCCACATTCGGTTGTTTTGTGACAAATATTTATAGTGATGTAACGAAAGGAATAAATAAGGTATCTATATAAATTACTATCAATAAGATATCATTTTTTTGTCGGCAATTTTTTTTAAATCGGAGGTACAGATGAGATTTATCTAAGTAACGTAAATTTTCCGACTGATGAAAAGTCAAGCCGCAGAAATTGTTTTAATTAAACGGAAATCTCCGGCACTTTACAATAGCGATAGGTTTTGTGCTCTGATATACAAAGATAGATAATTATATTATTTATCATGCTAACGCTAACAAAATAATAAATCACCGATGGGACACAATTCACCGAAGGATGTAACCACTATATTTTCGTTTAAACGGAAATTGCTTAGATTAAACCAAAATTTGGATTCCCTTTTAAGTTCTAAATATCAACAATCCTAGCCCTAAATCTCAAAAATTTACGACACGTAATTTTAAATTTATAATTAGGCATATAATATAGAATAAAATTTGATTTTATAGTATATATATATCTATATATATAGTAAATATATCATACATGAGTTTGCAGAATAAAACTTATGTGATTTTGTGCCTAAATTGTCCATCCAATAAACGAAATTAATTTTCTTCATACGATATAGTTATTTTTGGGAGTTTCATACGTACGTAATGTAGCAATTCCGAATTTTTGCCAAAATACCTTTTTTAAAAAATTAATTTAGGCACATCTGTACATAAATAGTGTTAAGGTTGTCTATCGAAAAGTATGTGTTAAAATTAGCAAGATGGCAATTGAAAGCCAGTTTTACAACTTTTTTAAAATTAAACAATAAATTATTAAAATTGTATTTATTGAATACAAAGTAATATACTTTTTACTTGACAATCGAATTTTTTTGTGACTCAATGATCGAATTCTTCTCAGCAGGAGAACGCGACCCCGGGGTCATGAGATATCCACCTGAATACGTAAAAAAGGAAAAAAGGAGTATTATGACTAAGATATCTCGTGATTTAGTGGCTGTGTCACTTGATTCTTCTCATTGAGAGTAATCGGCAAAAATTGCTCACAGGATCACGAGATATCTTAATTCATCACCATCGTCAAGTTTATACGTACTGTTGGCTAATACAGTATTAAAAATTATATAATTTTTTGACTGAATTGTAGTTTGATAAAAAATTATCGTTTAACAGTTTTTATAATATATTTAAAATAAATCTAATTATATTCATTAAATTGAAACATTTTAACTAATTTTAATAAAGACTCTATTGGAATAGTAAAAACATATCCCCGTTATATTGAGCGCTTTTAATTGAGCTACAAGTCATGAGAGGACATTTAATCACAACCACTAGAACTTGTATCCATTTATATTTTCAATATCTACTAATGATTACTATATAATAAAAAATAAGATAACAAATAATAAATGTTTGAGTTTAAATATTTGATTTATCAACACTTAAATTAACACGCAACACTTTGTAAATAAACAATATAACTAATCGCTAAATAATGGTGCAGTTTCATCTGGCTCAGTCACATATCTAGAAAAATTATTAAAAAGACAATAATTAGATAAATATATTTTTTTAGACAAAAAAGAAAATCAAAAAATAAATATTCAAACACACCTTAATCTTGATTTTCCTTTTCCTTTTTCATTACCACTCCATCTTTCAGACCCATACAATGCAAGCGCACCAGCGGGGCTCGTTACTACACCAAATCCCAAAAGTTTCCAGAATGCAGGTGTAAACTGTGCGCCTTCGAGCAAGTAAACCCAATAAAACATACTTATTGTTAACCCTGTAGTGCTGACTAGCATAAAATCAGTTGCTGCAGCTAATTCATGGTTTCTTAGTTGTTCTAAAAGAGTGCTTAGGTACGCAGCGTTATGATCTACGCCTTTAATTTCATATAAATACAAAAGTTATGATATTTATGGTTAGTATTTAGTCAGTGGTGTGACGTTAATTATAGTGATGTCATCAGGCCAAGAAAACTATAAATTACTTCGAGAGTACATTACACTATCGGGCTGAAGTTTAACAATAAAATTCTTTATGATATTGAATCATTATATCAAAATTTCCTAGAACAAGTGTGATTTATACAAAATAAAAAAATACTTACAATATGCAAGAAAAGATACCCACGAATATAAACAGATACCAAACAATATAAGGTAATATTTCGATGCACGCTTATATCCTTCGTTAGTTGACACCGATTCTTTAATTGCTCCTTTAGGTGTCCAAAACCAGAACATAAAGGCAAGTACTGGTGAGATCTAATGATATAATGATATTAAACACATTAAATATTATAAATGTATGTTAGAACACATAAAAATCGTTACATTTTGAATTCTAGAAATTTAAAATAATTCATTAATTTTAATCATTTTATGTTATAATTCACCTGGAAGAAAATAATAGTCCAGAATTGCAAACTCGGATCTGAAACCAATGACATAACGACCAAACTAGAAAAGACCACACAAACAATGCCCAAAAATATTCTCGTTACTCGATCAGGATTTAATGGAAGCGTAGCATCAGCAGCCGCTACCGGTGGAGCTTCAATATCTTGACGATTTTCGTCATTTATAACTACTATTACATCAGATTCTTCTCTTTTAATCTCTTTAAAAACCCATGCGGCAATCCTTATATAATCAGAATAAAAAAAATATATTAGCCTGATTAAATAAACGTAAAATTTAATAAAATAATCATCATACCAGTAAGAAACAGCAGTAGCAATTCCAAGTAATTGCATTGTGATTGCGACAAATAAAAAACTTGTGAAAAAACCATTTATTCCTCTCACACTATTCACACCAGGGATCGAGCTTTCTAATGCTATAGTAAATAATGACACAAGTGCCATTGGAGTCATTTGGTTTCCAATGATTAAACCAACTGGGTCAGTGAGAAAGTCGCTAGATTATATATTATTAATAAATAATGTATAAATTTTATTTTTTTTTTAAAAAAAAAAAGATAACAGAATACACAAAATTTAAAATCAATCTTCAAGCAACTTACAAGAAAAATGGTACTATTAAATTCAAGATATTATCAACTCCTAAAATTCCGGTATATTTTTCTTTCGGTTCAAAAAAGAAAGTAATAAAAGTATTCATGTTTGCAAATTGATATATTAAAATCAATGAGCCAAATACTATTGGAATAATCGCATGTATTTTTACATATTTTGGTTCCATGGTTGCGTGTTGTCGAAAGAGTCCTTTTTGTGAACTAATTTTTTTAAAAGGCCTTTAAATATCACTCCGCTAATTAACGGAATACAAACAAATTCGGATGAAACAGGATTGAACATGATAGGCATACTTAATATGTAAGTGATCTGATTGAATACTGCTATAAATTGATACAACGACAATACCTGCAAATACTACAGCACCAACTGGGGCCTTTATTACAGTATAATTCATTAATTTATATTGTTACCACCTTAGGATTTTTGATTTATTTATTTATTCTATTTATTCTAGTAATACAAACTCTTATATGTAAATCAAAAAAAAACAACCACCAAAACTAGAGCCCCTAGCAAGTAAATGACCAGTATGTGGCACAAAACATCAACGGATTTAGGCGTAACGTGAAATCACGCTTTCCAAATTTTGCACCTCCACTTTTTTAGTATAGACTAGATTCTACACTGACACAATTCTAACTCTAAAGATAGACACATCAACACCTGATCCTGTGACCTGATTGGCTAGAGTCACGATGGTAACTATGCGTCTCAAGTCTAGAAATTTTTTAAACTTCTTAGGATGTTGTATTCAGGATTATTAAACTTGCATTTTTATTATTGTTAATGACTATCCTTTTTTAGGAGTTTTTGTATTACCTTTTGTCCATCTTTGGATGCCATCAATAGAAATACTAAAATGAGTCCGTGATCATTTCTATATATGAACTAGTTTCTAGAATTTTTCGCACGAAGCGGTCCCATATCCTAGTATGACTACATCGATATTTGCAAACCTAATTTCTTGCCAATCACACATAACCAATCTTATTTCAATATCCGGTGTATCAAAAAATGGTCGTGCTTTGCGTCGTAAAACAATTATAATGCGAAATTTTTTAATCGATCGTTAGTTGTTATATAACTATCACTTCTACTTCAGCAATTTTTTTAGTGAACGCTTGATTGATGGTTTAAAGAGTATAATATTTTTGAATTGTTTAAACTGATGAACGTTTGGGAGTCATTGTATCTGAAGTTATCACAGTTGGAATTAGGTGCAATCGAATATGTTGATGAAGATATATTTTCCCGCTGAAGAACCCGTTCTCGATGGAAATTAATTTAAGATAGGTTCTTAAGTTATATCAAAAATGTATTTATTTTGTCGAGTGTGGATATGGAAATGATGATTGCCATCTAAATGTTATGTGGTAGAGAACATAATTAATAATTAATTTCGAGTTCATTAATAATTATTATGTTTTGCTTAATAAGATTAATTATTAAGTTCTATTGGACGTGTGTGTTTCAGGTATTTTACTGAATGAATTTCATGATCTTATACATTGTAGTGTATAGTCATAAATAAAATTCTTCTAATAAGATTTTATTGACTCCTTGAACGATTATCTTTTCTAGTCTCAAATTTGATTTTTACATTCTACTTTCTTATTTCATCATCGCTTTCGAAGCTTTTGTTTTTCGTTGTTTTGATCGTATCGTTCCTAACTCATTTATAGTGTAGAATTAGTCTTTTGTCTTGTGATGAAAATAGTTCCTAAGAATTCATGTATTTCTTTAACACCAATGGACTAGTTTCTGTGTTTCCATTCATATTAGGCAATAAACTAAATGTTTGTATCGGCTTAATGAGAATCGGGGTTCTCATCGTAAAACTTGCAAACGTCTACATTAGGCAACTTTTATCGAACTTTTAGATGCTCATCAGACTAAGGCATGTGCTTGAACATGATGGATAAGGGCCTCACGGTTTTCAAACTAACCAAACGGAGATGGACAAAAATTTATGATCCTTGATCACAAGCTCTGCTATTCTGAAGTTAACAAACATGCTTCGCAAATTATTTATATAAAACTCATAAAAGAATCGAAAGGCATCTTAATTCAGATGAAAATAATTCCAAAAAAAATCAGCAAAACAAATTCTTGAACGCACAAGAGAATTTCCAAATACGTCGTTTAAACTCGCGGCGTTTCGTCTCGTGGATCAAGAATCTTTCTTGGTTAAGTATCCATCATTCGTCTTAACTAGGGATGGGTTCGGTCAGCTATTTTCGGCTTAGCCGTTTTATAGCCGGTTAGCTATCTCATGATCCAGTAAACGATTTTAGTACCATTCGAATCATCTCAATGAGACAATTCGAATGGTACTAAAATCATTTACTGGATCATGAGATTGCTAACCAGCTATAAAACGGCTAAGCCGAAAATAGCTGACCGAAGTCTTAACCGATCTACAAGACTCTGAATTTTGTCAATACAATCTTGATGACTTATAAAGCAGAAACAAAAGAATAAAAAAATAAAATAGTATACTCTATGTACAAGAAAGCATTTGCATAGTGACAACACTTGAGCTATAATATGGACTAAGAAATTAAATGAGAAGCGTGTGGCTTATCTTAAATATTTTAATGATAAAATAATTGCTATAACTTAGACTACGAATAAGAAGTTAATTATTAATATTTTATACTCGTAATATAAATTATATATTATCTTTATTTTAATGATAAATAATTGTTATACTTAGACTACGAATAAGCAGTTGATTAATATTTTATATTCATAATATAAATTAAAATACCTCATTTCCCGACTGTCATTTCCCCTACAGGCCATTTACCCGACATCACATAGGGTTGGTTAACATTTGATTAAGTTGCAGGTATACAGTATATTGTCAGTAAATTGTTAGTAAATTGTCACCTATGTGATTTCGGGTAAATTGTCGAAATAACCGTCAGAAAAATGAGACGTAACCTTTTTTATAATAATAATATTGTATTACCGTTACGTATAGCATAAAATTTTTCTTTTCGAGTCCAAAAAATATATCATATTAATTCAAAGGAATAGACAAGACTTTTGATCTATTCTGGTATATTTTTCGTCAGAAATAGTTAATCTAACGTGTGCTCTATATTTTCACCATTCTTTACATATAATATATTATTGCACTTTCAAAATGTCTTTACGTATTTTCATTCCCAAAGTAACATCGATCAATTTGAGTCAGCTGCGAGCGTTCTTTTCGAATGAACCTTATTGATGGCCAGCTTGACATAATACCAACAGCACACGATACATGTATGTAATTTTGCTGGGCACTACCCGGCATTTAATATTTTTCAGTGCTAATCCGTGGGTAAAAAAAAAAAATAGCTCGGAGGGAATCTCTCATTAATTGCTATGTAATCGGCTGGTGCCATGCTAATCCCCACCTCGCTAGAGAATTTAGTTCCTCTCAGGTGAATTACTTAAACATCATGACCATTATGGTGAATTTTTTTTTTTTCGTTTTGCTATAGCCATGTCTTTTGTATAGGGATGTTATACGCTACCAAACGGTGATATTTTAGGCCCTGATGTTGCTGTCATACTTAATACCAGGTTTTCAGAACATCAATCAAATATAAAGTTAATTTGCATTTTTTTCATCTTTATTTTTAAACCTTTATTACTGCATGCAGGTGGAACACTCTAACAGATGCACGACAAAATGAAGCATATCCGCCAGTCGCACCTAACTTCATTGTGGAGTTACGTTCACAGTCTGATTCAGACCAATATATCTATAACAAAATGTTGCGATGGATGAATGGTGGCGTTGAGGTAAGTAGAAAACTATGATGTCTATTTCTTTATTGATCTCTATTGATTAATATTTATTAGGAGGGATGGTTGATTGATCTATTTGTAAATCCGCCCAAAGTAAGAATATATACGTTGAATGCAAATAATCAAGTCGTTATGCAAACACTTTCAAATCCTACCCTGATTAGTTCAACAGTCCTTCGTGGATTTGTAATGAGTACGCGAGGTATCTTTTAATGAAAAATATAAGGCAGAATCAAGTAATTTTTAACATTTAATAGTCGAGTGATTGGAATTAATAAGCGACTAAATGAGACTACCGTTCTTTAGGCTCTCATCTAAATAAATCAAGCACTTTTTTTGTTTATCAATGAAAACTTACAATTAAATAGCATCTCTCTACAGAAGACAATTTTTTTTCATTATGTTAATAAAACTGAGCTCATGATTTTACTTCGAAAATTTAAGTTTCGCTTGATCGGGCCTTATTCTTTTAATTATGTATACTGTGTATGTATCAGAGAAATTTTTATTGTAATTCTAAATTAATAAAAATATAGTCAAATAATAATAATAATAATAGTAAATCACAAAAGCATATAAAATTTTGAGTTTATTCAATGAGACTCAACCCGCGAAGATGATTTGGAATCGTAAAATGCCAAACATACCTTAGATCAATCTAATTCTCTTCACATAATTCCTCCCTGAGTTGATCACATATCAACTGCTTCTCAAGGTCTTCCTCATTTTGTGAAAATATTTTATATGTTGTTCATACTGTTTACCTTGTAATTCTATAGCGAACCTATACTGTGGATAGTAGATGTCAAGTTATAGTCCTTGAGGATGTTTGAAGTCTGGTCTGTGGATGCTGGAAGGTAGGCCAAGAGTGTTAGTAATAACTTCACGACATAGATTTCATGTTTACTTAAACAATATGGGCACCAAGATTTAACCTTAATACTATTAAAATTGGCAAACGATTTATGACCTTTATCACACATCCATTGCATCGGAACACAGAGGTTTATGTATTTGGTGGAAAGACACATACCTCCTCTACTATGTACAAATTCTTTAACTTTTATAAGATCACAAGGAATATCCATTCATGTCCTTTTGCGCATCTCCAATACATTAAAGTATTTATATTAACGTATTTGTGGAAAGGCATTCCCTACCACTATTTCAGCATTAAGATATTAGCACCGTTAACACCAAGTTCCCTTGATAACATCTTTAGCTGAAGCCTTTCATTTATGCCTTTTATATACTGCCATTCAAAAAGATCTTGTCTATTAATGTACTCAGTTGCAAGGTAAAGACTTCCTTTTTTTTCTGCACATCTTAATTATTCGAGTACGACGATTTTCAATTGCACACCATGGGCACCATGTTTTTTGTACCTTACATAATCAAGAGTTGTAGACCACTTATGCCCTATAACACATTTCCAAAGCATCGGAAACTTACCATTAATGTATTTTCGGAAAGGCCTTATTATATGCGATCTCTTTAGCAATCTGTAAAGACAATGGCATTTGTACTGCAACCAATTCTTTAAAAACTCGGCATGCATTCATGCTTTATCTTTCCTTGAAACCCTGTTTATCATTTTTTGCATTCATTTTTTACTTAGCTGGCCGGCCCTTTATGAAAATATAATAGTATTTTATTGACTTCAAACTAAATGTATGTTTTTACAAGTGATATTAATAAATAATATATCGTATTTTCGCGTAATAACGCGCAGGGGTGTAATTTCAAATTTTGGCCTAAATTAAGCTTAATTCGGGCCATTATTCGAAATAACGCTCATGAGCGTTATTACGCGAAAATACGGTACGCATTTTTTATTAGACTTGAAAGAACACATTTATGAAAAAAATGCTAAATGCTAAAGCATTATTTTTCAAATAAATACATGATGTATTAATGAAAAGATAGCTTAATTCTGCTCGTCTAAACCGATTCCCTTGGAATCACCATAATTAATAGTGACATTAATAACATCGCACTTTGAAAAGGAGGCAAGAATAAACTTACAAAAAAAGCACGGGTTGTTACACAAGACCCATACGATAAATTTTAAGTATATATTTTTTATTAATTTATTAAAAAGGTTTAAGTAATAAAAATTTGGAATTTAGAAAGTTTAAATAATTAATTTATACTGTTGAACCTCCCAAAATCGATCCTCTCAAAACTGATAACCTGTCAAATCTGATAGAAAATTAGTCTACCAAGCCCGTTTCCGTTATATAAATCTACTAGTTTATAATGTTTTCAAATCTGATAACCTCTCAATACTGATACAATATCTGTCATGCATATCGGTTTGGGGAGGTTCAACAGTAAATAAATATCAGATATTGTAACTAGTGAAGTTTATTAATCATTTCATTACAGAAATCTCTTTATTCAACCGCGAAAGCTTCGTACTTATATAGCTTTCTTAAATATGAGCAGATTGGTTAATTGGTACTCCAGATATAATATAAACTTAGATATGAAATTTCAGGAGTCAATTTTACCTATCATCAAACCAACCCTAACTATAATTTAATCGATTATACGACCAAACGCGCTTTAGATGTTCTATTAAGTATATACATTGATCGAGGGCGTTCAATCGATTAATCAAAACATAGCGATAGGGTCATATATGATCGGATTTTTGAAGGTTGATTTCACGTACGAATTTATATGAATTCGCACTACCTAGGTACATTTTTTACTCAACTTACATACAAAATCGTATCGTATTTTATATATATATATATATAGTTCTTGACTAGCTCTACATTGTAATAAAGCCAATTCGGCGATACCTTTCGTTAACTTTTAATAAAATATTACAAAACCTGCCCTATTATAGTGGAGCTAGTCTAGAACTATGGTTTTAAAAAATACGATACGATTTTGTATGTTAGTTGAGTAAAAAGAATGTATCTAAAGTAGTGAGAATTCATATATACGTATAAATTCATACGTGAAATCAACCTTCAAAAAATCCGAACATAACTTATGTTTTGATTAGTTAGTCGATTGACTACCTCATTGTAGTGTTGGGATCCGGATGTCAATTCGGATATCCGGATAGTCATCCGCGCTCAAAAAACAGCAATCCGGATAGGACATCCGTATCCATCCGAATATCCGTTGACAAATATCCGTGTTCAAAAATAGCCATCCGGATATCCGTAAATATTACGGATATCCGGATGTTTAACCAAACACTACTTAATTGATCGCACCTTAGAATAAATTTAAACTCACGATATAATATAAGTATTTATTATTTATAAAAATTTAATAAAACTAACAACAAATTATAATTTTTATAACAGATGATTACATAGAACTAATTGTGTTAATAATTAAAGTCTATATTAAAGTTATCACTTTTCATTTGCACTTATTTTTCCAATAGCCCATATTTTTCAGTGTATATACTCTTCGATTAGTGTTCTTTTGTTATGTTCTTAACTAACGTATTCGCTTTCTTTTTCAGATTCATGCTTATGACTATGTTTTTGTTCTGATTCGTTATTTTTATAATCAAATCCTTCTTCACATCCATCTCCAAATTTATCTTCATGTTTATTCCCTTGTTCTGATTCATATTCTTGATTATGCTTGTGGTAAAATCCTTCTCTATACTTATTAGATTCATTTCCTTTCTCATGTTCTCGCGATGACCCTTCGTTAAACCCTTCTTTATGTTTATTAATATGCATTCCATCATTTTCAGATTCATGCTTGTGTCTATGCTCTTGTTCTAATCCATGTTCCCGATTATGCTTGTGGTTAAACTCTTCGTGATGCTTATTTGGATAATCATGCCCATTTTCAAAACCATCTTCATTTCCAAATCCGTGGTTCCGATCGTTAAAGTTATCCTCATTTTCAAATTCGTGGTTCCGATCGTGGTTCTGGTTGAAGTCATCCTCATTTCCAAATTCGTGGTTTCGGTCATGGTTAAAGCCCTCACCATTTTCTAATTCGTGGTTCTGGTCAAAGTCATCCTGGTTAAAGTCATCCTCATTTCCAAATTTGTGGCTCCGGTCATGGTTAAAGTCCTCACCATTTTCTAATTCATGGTTCTGGTCAAAGTCATCCTGATTAAAGTCATCCTCATTTCCAAATTTGTGGTTTCGGTCATGGTTAAAGCCCTCACCATTTTCTAATTCGTGGTTCTGGTCAAAGTCATCCTGGTTAAAGTCAT